ATTTCTAATCTTATATATTAAAATAGAAGTCATGACTTGACTTCATGTGTGATTTTTTTTTTAAAAATGGACTATTACTAGAAAGTTATGTTACATTAACTCTCTATTAATCTTATCATTATTATATCTTATGAAAAATCAAATCAATAATAACAAAGATACGCATAACAATTTGATTTTGGTAAATTACCCCACACCTTCCAACTTAGTCACGCAAAATATGTCAATAAATATAAGTTTAGGAATCTTCTATTATTTATAAGGAAATATGTCAATAATAGTTAAATGTATCCACAGTATATTAACAAAAAATCACAGATTAGTAATACGGAATATTTATATACCCTAACAAAATTTACACGCTATATATATTAGATAAATTTATTTCGATGTAAATTTATAAAATTATATTGTTTTAAAAATGAAATTGTTTAAAAAATTCTTTTTAATAAAATTCTTTATAATATTAATTTATGAAGCTATAAGTTTAGTTTTTAGCAAAAAAATCTTCCAAGTTTATATTATCTTTGCAAATTAAAGTATACTAATATTTAATCAAGCTCTATTTATATTACTTTATCTAAAAATGAAATACCAATCTAACAAACAATAAAATATAGAAGAAGAAACAAACACATGTTTGAAAACATGTATAATATAGAAAATTTAAAACAATCTGTTTGATTAAAACGCTTATTATATAATATTATTATGTTTGAAAAACATTTACTATACATATCGTAAATATGTGATTACTATAATATATACCAATTTACAAGTGCAAACAAAATGTTTATATAACTAACTATAAACGAAAACAAATATCCGCGCGATTGCGCAGATCAAAATCTAGTTAATTTATATTTAAAGGAAGGGTTTTACAAAAAACATGTTTAAGACAAAAAAACCTTTAGAGTATCTACACAATATCTTTATAATATATTTTAAACTTTTTATTATTTAAAATAATAAAAAACTTATGACGCTCTCTTGTCTGTTTCTCTATTTCTGATTTTTTTTCTTTCTATAATTTTGCATATTGTTTATCTCATTAATAGTTTTGTTGATATAAGAATTAAATCATCGGCTCAAACAAATTTATAGGGTCCTCATGATATGTAAAGAAAAGAACATATCAAATATATGATAACTAGTGTTTCTTAGTATTGTTGGAACACATCATATTCAAAGTCAAAAAAATTAAGCACATATGTGAATATAAATTTAGAACTGGCTTGGTAGATAATGAATTCTATGAAGAATGAATATTTTGTGAAGAATACAAAGTGACATGTTTTGTTTAAGAAAATAAAATAAAATCTATATATATTTCATGATAAAGTCAAAACAAATCATAATTTTTAATTTTTAATATTTTTGTTTTTGTAAAATTTTAAATGGTAAATAACGTATTTATTTCAATTCATAAATTTATCTTAAACATAAATAATTATATCTTAAACTATTGAAATATCTAATCTTGGGTGAAAAGATAATCCACGTTTAAGAAAGTGTATTTTTCAAAAAAAAAAAAAGTAGAATGTTTGATTTTCCAATTTCAAACTGTTAGTGGAGTAAGTTACAAATTATCCCTAACCATAACACCATATTTGCTCCAAAGAAAAACCACAACACCATAATCATGTACAGTAGTCTAATAGCCTTTTAAACATTGATTTATTATAAGAATATCAGTATTTTTACATGGACGATTTAAATATGAGAACTTACGGTTGATAATTTCACATACACACTATATTCAACTTTATGAAAATTCATGCATGAAGATATTACTTCAACTATGTCGAAGATCTTTTCAGACCACATATTTTTTTAACACTTTTCTTCAGTGCATGTTCTTGCCGTCTATTCATGTCACACCTTGAAGCATTAGAGTTTTACATAATCAAAGCGTGAAACCTTATTCCCAGATAACGACCATGATCCAAGTAAGCCAGGTCCATTGTTCCAAGACTTTTTTATTTATTTTTTGGGGCAAAATTCCAAGACTTTTAAAGATGAAAAGATAAAAGGCATGCTCTATCGAATGTTCCCACAGCTAAAATAATAATATAGCAATGGAGATTTGAAACAGAAGATATTTTCATATAATATGGAATATTTGATTTAGACTAGACTGATGAAAGTAACCTTATCGACTAAAATGATTTGTTAAGTCTTTATATATTCCATTCGTTTTAACTAAATACTAGATTTTGACCCGCGCTTCAGAAGCGCGGGTTTGTTTTTGGTTATAAAATAAAGTTTAATACTCTAGAAAATAGTGTTTTGAATTATTAGCATTATATCAGTGCATAAAAGTTTTCTATTTAAAGTTATATATCGATGTACATAAAAGTTGTCTATTTAAAATTATATACTTATCATTTAGTTTATTTGAAATTTTGTATGTATGTTTTATGTTACAATGTTTTGAATATTTTTTTGGATATTTATTTAGGTTTTCGATATTTTTTGTGTTTCAAGTTTTTTGGGTACTTCGGAATTTTTAAGGTCTTAAATACCTGAACTAATTTGTTTTGGTATCTTGGTTGTTAGAAGTTGAGAATGTGAAAAGAATATACATTAACAATTTTATTTAGTTGTTAGAGAATATTTTTTTGGTTGCTATAATAAGAGTTAGTTATAATATTTGATATCTGTAATAGGTTGGACTCAGTAATGAATAGGTGTAACAACTTTTTAAGTAAAGTTTTGAGGATGATTCTTTTTTAATAATACAGACAGATGATCAAGTTAAAAATTATTATACTTTGCGTTAAATAAAAGATCCGATTATTTTTGTTCATGGTTGATTTAATTTGTAAACAATATCTCACTTTTTGATGCGTATATGATGTTTTTTGCATATATAAGGAAAGTGTGTATTTTAGAATTTTCTCATGTATAGGAATCTTTCTTATTTTGAAATTATTATGTCTAATATACTTAAATTTCTACTGTTTATATGTTAGAATATATTGATTAAAAATATAAATATTGATTAGAAATTATTTGGAGTAATAGATATGAGACAAATATATTAAAAAAAAATACTCTTAAGATTAGTATTTGATGTATTAGTTAAATTTGATTTCTTTGTATATTAATTTAATATAGTAAATAAGTTTTAATATATTCATTTCTACATCTAGATCTATTTATTTTGTTGTATAGAAAATTTCAGATTGTATGAAGATTAAAAATATTAATTGAAACCTCTTCAAATGACTTTAGTTATTTAGAGCTCGTTTACAAAATTTTCACAAAAACAAATTTTTTTCTATCTATGTTTAACCTATTTATAAAAAAATTGAAGACGATATAGTTAAAGATAATATGAGGTAGGCTTTATATTATAATATTGAAATCCTAATATTAATCTAAGAATATAATACGAAACCTCCTACATTGTTCGTAATGTCTGATAAGATTTATTTTTAATAGTGTTGATATTAGTATAACACGATAGTTAATGGTAGATATTATAAGTTGTAGATACTAAACACTCAAATACGTTTGGTTTGTTAAGCATTAAATATAGATAAGATAAATGGGTACAGAATAAATGTGAATTAAAGAGGAGATTACAATATATTTAATAAATGATAGAGGATATTATTTGGTTACTACTATATAATAGGGACTTGTTATAATATTTGATTGTATATAATTGGTTGGGCTAAAAATGAATAGGTGCAATAACTTTGTTTAAGTAGATTTTTTTAGACTCCTTCTCTTTTAATAGTATAGATTGTTTTTCCTCAGTGCATGCTTCGTTTATCCCACTTGTTTTTTTCTTCTTATCTTACCAAGATGATGTTTCAAATGAATTGTTGTTATATAACTGTAACATATATTTTGTTAGTAATTACTAAATTGATGCAAACCAATACATAATAATTAAGAAGATAAGTTGGATCATTTGATAACCTCGCATAATACTATTTAACGTAACAAGTAACAACGCTCATCATTTCTATTTTCTTTCATCTGTATATCATCTTTTGATCAGAGATATCCGATAGAGTCTCTGATTTGAAGTTGTTTAAAAAATTGCTTCATAAGGAATCTTATACTATTAAATTTGGGCTCGTGGCTCATGTGGTGAAGTTATGTATTGATAATTTAATACTAGTAATAATATGTAACTATTCTCATAAAAATATTCAAACGGCCAATAGGTGAAGGTAGAGAAACGGAGAGTGCGGCCAATCCATATCGTGCCTAACTTGGAAAAGAAGAAGTAGCTTTAATCAGTATCTCAATTAGTTAAATCCTTAATTGCAACATAATTGGTAGCTTAACGAGGCCACGTGGGGACAAATAACAAGATTAAGAAGATAAGAATAATTATATATTAATATATTCATATTATTAGCTTGTAGGATAAGTCTCATCGACTGATAAATTGGAGGAGTGTGTGTGTGTGCTCATTAAGACAACAAGAGAGAAGAAGACAGAGATAAGTAAAGATCAATGAGCTCGGTAGAAAAAGCGGTGGCGGTACAGGATAATGGAGAGTGGCGGCAACGACGGTTTGGGCCTAAACAAGGGAGTGTGTTCCCAAAAGAGAGGAAACTAGTGAAGACAATGATCTTGGAGGCTCTTTTCTCGTCTCAACCTTCTTTCAACTCCAAGCAGAAAGTAGAGCCGCCGCGTATCAAACGCATGCAGTCTACTCTCCGGTAGCCTTATTTTGTTGGAGTAACTTAGAAAGTATTTGGATCGTAAAATATAACAAGTTAAAAAAGTAGTACTTTCCCGTTATATGTTGTGTACTTGTGTGTCTCTCTTGTACCATAGTTTGTGTGTGTTTTGGCTTCTTTAAGAAATATATAGATGCGTGTGTTGTTAATTTTGCTAGTTTCGTTGTGTATCCGTGTTAATTTAAGATCTATAATTTGCTCTATATTGTTTTCATTCAAATTCAAAGTGAAGAAAAGATTTATAAGCTTCAAACGCTGTAAACGACAAAACCAATGAATTGTCACTTTTAACTGATGGTTCATAACATTTTTAAACCACAACACGTTCAAATAAAAATAAACTTGAACAAAATTGTATACAACGAAAACATTTATTCAATGTACTCGGTTGGCTTATTAAGTTTTTAGTTTAAACCTTCAATTAAAAAATAGATAAGTAGCCGGTGAAATAAATATATACAAAATTAAAGGTGATGTCGTGGTAGTCCCCTTCCGAAGATGATAAGACCGGACCGTACGAGATTGTTTTTATAAAACAACAACACTATCTGAATGGTGCACACCAACAAACATTATCATTGAATATGGACAGTTAGTGAAGATATATAATACGGTGACAGAAAGACAGGAAGGAATCTAATACTGTAAGGTGTATCAAACTGACAAAATTTATGCATATGCCATATTGACCCTTCTGCTTAGATGAAAGACTATGGTCTGGACTCTGGCTGGATCCACAAATCATCGTCATGCTTTCACACTTCTTAATTCTTTAACAAACATTTATATATATAGCTCAGTTACTGTATTGTAGTTGATGTCGCAAAGTTAATACTGTTCTGTCTAAAGAAAGTTATGCAGTAATCATGGCCGAAGTTGAAAAATAGATTGTACTAAGAAAGTTTACATAAAAATACTCAAATAATTGTAATACTTTAGAATCTGGTATAGTTTAAAAGAATTGATTTCACTATTTATTATCCTCATGTCTTGTTCTGAAAAACTAAAAAATAGAAAAACTAGAAAATAATAAAAGCTGGGAGCACAAAAAGAATCAAGAATGGCTGTCAAGTAGTGTTGAACTTGCTACTTCTGAATGGGATATTAGCTACTTTAACCATATGAACTATCATAACATTTGTTAAATGGCAGAAAAATATATTTTGTATTATAGGCAGAAAGCAATGCTTCTATAGTTTCTTCTATCCAAAGCCGCCATCGATTACTTATAAAATACTAGTGGTATTCCGGCGCTACGCTCCGGATTCTTATATTTTATTTTTTAATAAATTTATAATTATTTGTAACCATAAAATTACCAATATCTATAGATAAATTTTTACATCATGTGTGAGTTCTTTTGACTAATTTGAATGTTGTTGTTGGGAGATGTTACATGTTGATAGTCGATACGAATTTCTAGCAAACATAAACTGAGTTATGGTGGTTTGTTGTTTTAGTGGTTAGTGATAAATATTGTTTTCATTTTCCTTAATGTAGAAGCACATATTGCATATGAATTTTGAAGTTTAAATTATCAGCGATTTAAAGTGATAGAACACGAAAACATATTTATTTATTTGGGCTAAGTTTGACTTATTGTCCGTTTGAAGTTGAAGGTTATGTTTCATATGAATGTAATATACGCCGTAGTTATTTTGTTGATTTACTATATATGTTCTCAGATCTTGATTTCCACGTAACTATTCTTTTGTTGTGAATAATTTCTTTGTCTATTAACGTGTTTTTTGTCACATCTGTTGTTGTATTTGGTGTAATGTTATATGAGATTCGTTTAGGATGAAATAGTTTCGTTTTGGACGTTATGCATCTACCTTATTAAAGAGAAGTACAAATAAAAAATACCTCTAAAACTTACAATTATTTTACAAATTATATCATTGAAATATTAAATAATACTAACTTTAAATAATCTTGTATTTTATAATTATTACATAATTTCTTAAAATAATTATAACTAACAAAGAGTTAGGCAACAATAAAAGAAAACCTACACTATATTTATTTAATAGGTTTCAACACAATCATAATAAACAGAGTATTCTAAATTTAAAATAAAAATTTTGTGGCTAAAATCCTACCTTTTATTATTAGTATATTTTCCTATAAATAGTATTCTAATGTAAATTTAATATTATAATTGTGGAATATTATAAAGTTTATAGAAACATATTTTAAATAGTATATAAAATAATTTATTATACATTATAATATAATTTTGATCCATAAAAAATAAAATAAAACACATTTGTGCGTATATACAGGACATATTCTAAAAATATAAGTGATACAATTAATGAATTATAAGACAATTTATAATAAATAATATAAATTATAAAGTTATTGTGTTTTAAAAATGTCATATTAAATGATTATTTTCAAAATCATCACTCCCAAAATGAATATTTATTTATAAAAAAAATGTAAAAATGAAAACCCACACAAGATAAAATTTAAAATATAGATTATCACGTACACAAAATAAATATTCATTTATAAAAAAAAACCGTGCATGATAAAATTTTAAAATTTAGATCATCATTTCATAAAATAAATATTAATTTATAATCAAAAAACACACTCGGATGCGCAGATCAAACTCTAGTTTCAATTAAATGACCATTGATTTATAATTTCTTAACAAATTTATTAATTAGGTTTTATTTTAAAAACTATGATGTATTTTCTAATTTATGATATATTTAGTGTATTTTTCAATCTCTTCACGTATGTAAATCTTAAAAGATTATTAATAACATTTTATAGTTATTTAAAAAGACTTATATATGTAAATATCAATATATTAACATAATCAAATTTATTAATTATATTTTATTTTTACAAATATAATGTATTTTCTAGTTTATAATGTAACTTTGTGTACTTTTCAATCTCTTCACATATATAAATCTTAAAAGAAATAAGTTGATGTATATGAAATAAAATATTCTCATAACTGGGCCTAATGTAAAAATTAATAAAATTCAAATAAAATAAAATTTTCTATAGTTGAGCTTAAAAAAATATTCAACAAATGATAATATGCCAAGTGTCAATGTTTGCCCCCAATGAAAAAAAAAGTCAAGTTTATTATTAAAGATACTCTTTATGTGTCATATTAAGTGTCAATTTAAATTTATGCACACATATGAAGAAACTAATTAATTTTGCATATTTTCTATATAAAAACACAATTACAATATAACCTCTATAAATTAATACTCGATAAATTAAAAATCTTTATAAATTAATAAATCTTGATAGTCCCAACTTGAACCGGTTCAAAATATGACACATATCGATAAAATAATAAATAATATTTTTTAGAAAACTCTATGTAAATATATGATCCTATTAAAATTATAAATTAATAATTGAACTGTATACAATATAAGTAAGAACCTATCATTGTATAGTTTTTTTTATATTCACAATGGAATATATCTTTATATTTTCTTAACAATTAATATATTTTAATGAAATTTAGTAATACTATATCTAAACCACGTTTAAATTCTATGCAATATATATTATACTATACACCAAATAATATAATAAAACTAATATAAATGTCAACTTTCAAAAATAATAATAAATGTCTTTACACTAAAATTAAATATTTTTCTCATCTTAGAATAAATATTTTAAAATAAGATATTTCAATATTTTTTTGTAAATTAATATCTCTATACATTATTAATTTATAGAGGTTTTACTATATCTATACATATAACCATATTTCAACTAATAGAAAAATAAATCACAATATCATTTAATAATTTTGCATCAAAAATCGAAAATGTCACATGTTTTGTAATATTTTTTTTTTCTATAACGACACTTAATATGAAAGATACACATTTTTTCTTAAGAAATATTTATTTTTTCAGGCACACATTTATACATTTATATAGAACTCAAAAATTAAATATACTTAAGAGAAATTATTAAAAAGATGAAAAATCTATTGAAAATTGATATGTGATATTGTGTGAATGAGACCAAATCACGTAAAAATCATGCTGATAGCAAGGTCATTAAATAAATATCTCCAAACCTCCATAAATAATTAACACATCGCATACCAACATGATAGACCTAGACACATTCATGTAGAACCAAAAATCAAATTTTACTAAACCAAAAAAATTACTACTTAAATCGAATTTCATAAAGAATTGAGCGGATCTTATATCTCTTGAACCAAAAAATTAAAATCAAATTGAAAACCGAATGGATACTCATATTTTAAAAATACAAATTATACACCTATAGTTATTAACTATATGTACTTTATAAATAACCAAAGAGGCTAAAATATTATTTATAATCTGAACTACCCAAAAGTCGTATCATTGAATACTTTTTTTATCTAAAATATTTAAAAAGTATCTGATTTACTTGATTTCTTATTCGAACAAGCCAAAATTACCTAATATTTAAATTTAAAAACTTGAATTATCTGATATTTACCTATATTATCCGAATCTCCCCCTCCCCTGCCCCAAATAAAATCTAAAACCAAACTGAAATCGAATTGACTGATTATTTTTGTGAATATTGATTGGTTCCCAAATTTTCTATTGGAAACGAACAAAAAAAATAAAATAGACATAACCAAACTGAAACCAAATGAGATTTTTTAGATATTTGAATGGTTTCTATATTTCTAGAACAAAAAAAAATTAAAACCAAAATATTTGAACTAAAACCAAACTGAAAACCGAACATCAAAACTTATTGTACGAGAAAAAAATTCATAGACCAAATTAACCATAAACGGTGACGGTGAGAGCTTTACAAATTAAATAATACTAACTTAATTTATACTGAAAAAAGAAGAAAAAAAGCTTTAACATCACTCAAAATACAACAGAGAGAATATGAAAAATACTTAATAACATCATGCATGTATGTTCTGTCCTCCTACGTTTTCGAATGGTGTAGTGGGAAATACAGTTTATCTGACATACAGTTCTCACGCATTAAAATCATCATTCAATGTTTTCTGGTTTTATATTACAGATAACGAGATATATTTGTATATAGTTCAAATATTTTCTATTTTTGTGTAAAATAAAAATAGTAGATATGTGTGCATATCTGATTTGCTGTAAACATTGTTCACTTGCTTTCTTCTTTTTTTGGTCAATAAATGATTTTGCTACAAATATTTAATTTAAATATATTTCTTTTCTTTTTTCTATCTGACATAC